ACAAGAAATTCTTAATTTCACCCCAAAACGCGTCTTGTCAGTTAAGATCGGTTTCTTACTTATAAACCATGTATCTCTCATGTGCTTTTTCGATGTCGGATTCGCCTAATTTGTTACATACACCCCCCCTCCCCTCTTGGGACTCAACGTCCTCATTGAGATTTGCCCCACCATCGTTCAAGAGGGACGCAGAGAGGTTCTGATATCACCTGTAACATCTCGAACATTTTCCCAACGAAGATATTGTCCGCTTTGGGCATAGACACTCACGGTTTTTTCCTTGAGGTGCAATTCAAGGTGATTTCCCATAAGGTCACCAATCCTTGTTGTACTCAATACTGAGTACATTTAACTTCGGAGTTCTCACAAGAAATCGTCAATTTCACCCCAAAACGTGTCTTGTCAGTTAAGGTCAATTTCCTACTTATGAACCATGTATCTCTCCCGTACTTTGTAGATGTGGGATTCATTGTGAGAAAAGGGGAAGACTTGCTAAAAGGATTGTGATATGTTGAAGTAGAAGAAAAAAATCGTGCCAAAAAGGTTAATTTCCATATTTTGTGAGTAGATACTCACCAGGTCCAGATGGTGGCAGTTTTGATCCAAGGGCTAAGGCTTAGTGACTCATGGAAGGGATAATTTAATTGAATTTTGGTGTCTTTTCGGCTGAGAGTCAAGCCAACCGATCGAACTAGTATCGAGCTGAGAAAAATAAGTATTCAAAATGCACGAACTAGTATCCGCCTGTGTTGAGAAATCCTCTCTTTTTTCTTTATTTTGAAAATTTTGCTCTTCCTTCTCTCTAGGAATTTAGATATGATTTGGTCTTGCTCATATTTGGATCATTGGAGCTTGTCAGCTTGGGGTGCCTCTAATGGAGATATGATGTTGCAGATTTTTCTCTCCGGCTATTGTTCTATTTTTGTTTTGTTTTTGGGTTTTTGGGTTTTTTCTGTGTCTTGGTTTTCTGGGTTTTTTGGTAGATCGTTGTTATTTAATGTCATGGATACCAATTCGTAAACCAATACAGACCGATATCAAAATACTACCATGTGTAGTAATCAATATGAGTTAGCAAACCTTGAATACTAGTTGGTTTAAATGTCGATATTTGTTCCTAGTTGATTGAGTGGATACTAATCATGTGATGTATGAATAATCTATTGTGTTTTCTGGATATTAGTTTGTGAATGTGGAATAACAGGTAATTTCATGGTGGCTATCAGTTAACAAACAATGATAGTTGGTTTAATTATGGATATTAGTTGGTGTTATTTGAATACTAGTTTGTGCTCTCATGTATACTTGAATGCCACCAAGTGTTCAACAAAACATGGATACTACTCCAACAGAGATGGATACTAGGTTGGACAATATGAACTGAATACTAGTTCTATGATGTATGGATACTAGTTCTCATGGATACTTGAATACTATTTCATTACAGAGTGGTTACTAATTCATGTATACGAACTGATATCAAAATACTACCAAGTATACTGAACGATATGAGTTAGCAAAACTTGAATACTTTTTGGTTTGAATGTGGATATTACTTCGTAATTGATTGGGTGGATACTAATTATGTGATGCATGAATACTCTATTGTGTTGTTTGGATATTAGTTCGTGAATGTGGAATAATAGTTGATTTCATTGTGGAAATAAGTTAGCAAACCTTGAATACAGTTGGTTTGATTGCGGAAATTAGTTGGTAATTGATCTGTATACTAATTCTGTGAGGTTGGATATTATTTTTGTGATGTTTGGATACTAGTATGTGCTCTCATGATTACTTTAGTACTACTTCATAATAGCAATAGGCTTGGATACTAGTTCATGCATTTTGGATATCAGTTTTCTCGGCTGGATACAAGTTCTCTTGGCTGGCTTGGCTCGCAGTCGAAAAGCCACCAAAATCCACTTAAATGAACCATTCATTGAGCCACTGAGCCCAGTTGTTGGATCTTGACTTTGCCCATGTGGCTCCCATCTCAACCTATGGATATATACTCAATAAAGGCTTGTGAGCACCATAACTAGGTTGGAATCAAGAGAGTTATTGGGAGTTTGAATCGTGATTTCTATTGATAATTGTTGGCTATTGTAACTTAATCGTCAATAACCATGCATAACATTCCACATTACCATTTACAGAAAGCTTCTAACCATTTTCTCTATAAATTTTATCAAACTATATATCTTTCATTTTAAGTCATAATTTAAATTTTTTGCATAATTAAATTGTACACTTCAAAATAATATCCACTTTGATATATTTTTGGAACAAAAAAATTGAGACATTTAGTACCAGTCTATACCATACTAGTAATGCTTGGTACTACATAAAACCATACCACGTGGTACTGAAGAGTATCATGGTCGTACTTAAGTGTACCATGGTGGTATGAACATAACAGAGTGTATAATAGGTGAATACATGATAGTAGAAATATACAAACTGTCATTTATCACATTCATCATTGTGTACCAACACTTACCACCCCTATACTAGGGTGCTATGACTTGGTCGTGTACTTTTTCCCCGAAATTTGTAGATCGAATAAATCACGATGAACTTGTTCCCTCTGTGCAAAAAAAAAAAAAAATCAAACCTCGAGTTTCCCCTCTAGCTCCTTACAAATTTTCTCCAATGCATCCCAGTGTTGCTCATTGAAGGTGCACGACTGGCTTACCAGCCTTGACCCAAGCAATATGGCTAGGACAATTGTCTTTGGTGAGGTCTACTCCAACTCTAGTCCGCTTCTAAACTCTGAAGATGAAAGATGGATATCAAAATATATGTCCATGTCTCGCCATGGTATCCAAGAGAGCAAAACCAAGCTCCTCTCTATGGTCATCGATGTATTGGGCAGTGCACCAGTATGGATGTAGCCTCATCCTCGAAGTACTCGATGAGAAGGGATAGATGTGGACCGACTGAGATAGTCTGGTACTAACAAAGTTGGATGAAGCAAGTATCATATGACTAGGTGAGAGCTTGCCCGCATCGCCTCTTTATCTAATGTGAAAACTAATTCAACCAAAGTAGCGCATGAACCTTAGAAATGGTAAGTGGATGGTTGTAGCTCTAGCATAATAAACTCAACCCTCGAGTTCTTTGTAATCCTCTTCCACAAAGCTGTGAAGATCCATTTTTGTGAATCTTGATCCCAATAGCCTCCCATGCTAGCCTTAGAAAGAGGTCCTCTAGTGTGGTATAGGGGAATCCCTAGCTTCTGTGAGAAGTTGTCGTAACTGACAGTGAAGGGCCTCCCAACCAACTGATAGGTGATGCATGTATGACTAGAGGTTCCTGCTGGCGATACTACAAGTATGTCAAGGAACTCTTGAATCGGAATATCAATTGTCTCTCCTTTGATGCTAAAGAGTGTCAGTAAAACGACACGATCAAATCTTTGCCTCAGCTCTATACCCTATCCTTGGCACTGGTAGAAATCATCCCATTCTATCTCTCTTCAGACTCCAGAGGAACATTTCTCCATTGCTCCACTCTTCTCCAGAGGCGGATCCAGGATAGGGTAGAGCACTGGGCCACATTTGAAAAGAGACAAAGAGGACTAGCCATAACCCGACGAGAACATAAAAGAATACATAAAATTGGAAATTTACAAGGGCTATGCTAGCTCTGAATCTGGGGGAGGCCCCCTAGATCCGCCGCTGCTCTTATCCTCCTTTATGTCCCTAGTGGAAAGTTGAGTAGAGGATGCATGGGCACCTCTCCTAGGTCGAGAATCTTGAGCTCATCATCACTCTCTTGTACCTCTGACCCGTAGTGCATCTGTCCACTATGACTTCTTGATCTCCTGCTATCTGAGGATAGTCATCCACTACTGTTGCTAGAGGAAATTCTGGCAAATCAGTACTAGGAAGAGGAGTTCCTTGATTCAGACTCTTCTTCTTCCTCTATAATGTCTCCCTCCTGTTGAGTCGTGCTAATCTCTTTGGTGGAGTAGCTATCTCTAGTTCTGTTGGAGGTGGACACGAGCATCTCGATTGTCGAGAAAATGATGCACCATTACCCTTCTTCTCCTCGTGTCGTTCTAGGAATCCCAAAGGTGTCTTTATATCTAAAATAAGAAAGATCGGCAAATCAATTAGATAGATAGGGGAATACCCCCCCCCCCCCCCCTCCCCCCCCCCCCACCACCACCAACTTCAGAGTGTGGCTTCTACTACAAGCTAACTATTTGACTTCTAATATATGCAATACTAAGATGGCATAGCCATGGCATACTCATCTAATTTCATATAACGTTGAAGCACAAAATGTAAAAAACATAATGGTAGACATTAGATGAACCATTTATCCTAATCATGCTAGCAATGAAAATCATAAATCATATAATTAGGCAAATGTACAATTGAAATAAATGACACACGTAAAATGACATTAGCACAAGGAAACGACATTTATTCCAATTAGTTCCACTAAGCATTAAAATTTGTAGAAATCATCCAATGGCCCAATCATTGAAATTTTTTGAAATTACTAATGCTTGTACTATAATTATTTAGAAAATTAGCGTAGGTTGACATTAAATGCTCAAAGTAATTCAAAAAGATGTCATGCTTATTTGGAAATTTTGCGCATGACTTTTGCTAAAATTTATCAATCCATCAAAGCATAGAAGCATTTAAGGCATCATAAGAAATCATATAATATCATGCTAAGCACAAAGTTATCATCAATCATCTAAAATATCAACGGTACCCAAATAGGCCCAAAAATTGGAAGATAAAGACCTCCACCTTTAACATGCAACTCTGAACATTAAATCATCAATTGAAACTCTAAATTCATGATTTAAGTTGTAAAATTCATATAGAGATTACAGGTCTTAGTCGGATTGAAGAACAATTCAGAAATTGAAGAAAATTGGACGAAATCTAGAGTGTCTGGCAGCAGCGACGAGACAGGTCCGACCGTCGTCGATGGTATAATCTTATATATTTAGAAACTATCAAGAATATGACTCTCTGCGTTCTAAATATTTAATCATAATTTAGTTAGACGTTCGCTTTAAATGGGTTTCTTTGTTAAGAACCGTTTAGTATCAATAACTCGAGTTGTGTTGAGAGAATGATGGATCTTTTATAAAAAAAAAATTCATAATTTAGGTAGTCGTTCGCTTTAGAATGGTGTTCTTTGTCAAGAACCGTTTAGTAACAATAACCTGAATTGTTAGGAGAGGTTCAATAATATATCTTATACCATCTACTAACACACTTCCTTATAAGAAGATCGACCTATATATAAAACAAGGTCGCCAAAATTCAAACACAAGACCTCTCGATTAATTATTTTCAATTAGACGCGCCCTAATTATCAGTACCAACTAACTATTGTACCTAGTTTAACCATTTTCCTCCACAATCAAAGTGGTTCTCGTGACGCACCCTATAACCCTTCTCCGCGCCCTCATCATTCCCAAATCCCACGGGCTGCGACCATGTTTCCTCCCTCTTCCCACTATCCCTTTCTCTGCTAGTTTAACAACAAAACTCAGTGAGAACTAAATACCCACCCAAGTAACTCCTAAACACAAACACTCTTCAGTGATGACAAATTAGAACCCTAAACAAGTCCAGTACACAGAGATGTTTGACTCCGATCCAGGGTTTCCTCCGTAGACACGCAGAGTTGCAATCACATGAAAACATGGTGGAACCCAATGAGAGGGCCATTTCGTTTTAAAGGGTATATAATAGCATCCATCAACATCCTCAAGTCCCCGATTTACCGTTTAATCTAAGCAAATCGCTTTCTTAGTGTTTCAAGGAAAACAGATTAGTAGTCAATAGGGAGATTTAGTTCACAATTAATTAATTAATTCACTGACATGATCAAGAGAGGTAACGTGTAGGCTTCATTCCAACACTACATCTAACCTCTTCTGGAATTTTTAACCGCAAAACATTCTTGACCCGCCCTAGCTCGATCTCTCATTCTCACACTCTCATTCACTCACTAATTGTTTAATCGTGTAGTTGTAGGTAGAATTTTAAGGGCTAGGGTTTCAACGCATACACACGCAACGAAAGGGGAATTTTCAAATCTTGATATAATATCATGTGGTGGGGAAAATATTTAACTAATGGTGGATAGAGAAGAAGAAGAAATCAAACAAAGATGCATCTATATCTCCCCCCATAGCTGCCCCACACAAGTACTGATACAACAATATTCTCTGCCTGAACAGAAAGATGGGAACAAAATTAGGAACAATTAAGTAATGGAATGATTCCATTTAGTTGGTGGCAATTTTGGAAGGATTATGAACAAGTTAGGAGAAAGAGGGGGGAAAAAAAAGGCAGGCAGATACAGCAAAAAGCGATGGAACAGAACACAAGCAGATGGACTTATGTGGGGAAATTAAGAAGAAGAAGAAAAAAAAGATAGAGAGTCATTATTGAAACCCTAAAACAGATCAGATCGGCAAACAATGAAAGAAAACGAAACCCAAATGTGACATATTTTCTTGGCCCAGAAAGCCAATCTTTGTGACTGTGTCTTTTGTTTGTGGCTCTGTCAAGAAAAGGGGTTGTCAGTCAGTCATACAGAATAGGAAAATGTGCCCTTTTTCACCTTGTTCCATGCAACGACACAGAAACAAAAACCTCTTTTGTTCTTTCTTCGCCACTCTGCTCTGCCCTAGAACTAGAATCTCCAGTTTTCTTTCATTTATTATTATTATTGTATTATATGTCGACAGACACACAAACAGACATTCCAATTCGAAAACCATGTTGACTGAACTGCTTGCCTTCTGGACATATATTCATCATAACCCTATGTGACTTTCAAGGGCACTCTCCTTAGTTTTTAAGACAGCCCACCACTGAACTTCGCCTCAAGGAATTTCTCCATCAAGAACACAATATGTGGATGCAAACAATTCGAGACAGAGAGAGAGAGCGAGAAAGGGTAGGTTGAAAATTCGTAGATTGGTTCAATTGTCGACGAACCCAAAAATTCGAGCACCATCAAACATGAACGTACGGAAAAAAAAAATCAGGGTCGAAATCTAAATTAGCGTAGTAACAAAATTAGGATTAACGATAACATTCACCTCTTTAAAATGTTTTCGCGCACTATCTACAAAACAATTTTGCTCGACTAGAAACAAAATTCCGCGTCATGAATCAAAACCATCTGGGTTCCTAGAAATCATCCATGTGAGTTCCGTTTGAATGGCAAACACATTACCAACAACAACAACAACAACAAAAACATATAAATCAACTACCGATCGTAAATCATTTTCTAGGAGAAATCGATGGACAGCCGTGGTGACGGTAGATAAAGCAATAAAATCATTCGTTAATTTGTTCATCTTTTCTGTAGGAATTTTCCGTGTGTCTGTCTCGTTTTACATGTACAATACAACCATATTACGGGAGATCACGATTCAGAAAAGGGAAGGAAACTGAAAGAGAGAGAGAGAGGGAGCCAAATTATAGATCAAGGAGAAAAATCAACATTACTATGAAAATTGAGCAGAAACAAATCTGTATATCATCACTCTTCATCGATGGAGAGGCGTTTAGATACTCTTCACCTTAGGCGGGCGATCCCCAAGGCGGAGCTCCAGATCCAACTCCTCTCTCAAACACCAACTACCACCTGGAGGAGCAGGATTCATGTGATTCGTACTACTACTCTTCGTCATGTCAACAACCAGTTGATCTTCACGATGTCGCGACATCGAATTCAACCCAGGCCTTGACATGAATGGCGAACCCGACCACGACGACGACGTCGTGGTGTTCTCCTCAATTCTCCTCCTCCTCCTCTTCAATCTCGCCACAATATCCTCCTCCTTCTCCGTCTCATCAATTCTCCTCCTCTTTCGGTTTATCTGTTCTTGTTCCGCTGCGGAAGGGAAAAAGGACTTCTCGGAGCAACTGTTGCTGCTGTCGGCGGAAACCCTAGCTGGCGGTGAAGAAGGTGGTGGATCGGGGCTAGGGTTAGGGCTATTACTACTCGCACAAGGAACGTGAATTTTCCGACAGGGATTCAGCTGAAATTGGTAGCCAGCCGACGGCGACGAGGATGGCGGCGGCGGAATATTCTGTTGAAGCGGAGGATCGGCGGGAGCGGTTGGAGAAATTGGGGACTGTTTGAGCCTAGCCCGGTCCCTCCTGTGGACGTTCATGTGGCCTCCCAGGGCCTGCGCGGACCTGAATTCGCGACGGCAGAAGGTGCAGGAGTAGGACCTGGGAGGCCATATGCAGCCTCCCAGGGCTCCTGATGCGTCCTCCGCGAACGCCTGCTCTTCCCACGAGTCGTCGTAGGAAGAGCAAGATCGCGGCGGCGGCGGTGCTGGTTGTTGCTGGAGATAAAGGTGGTGAGGGGTGGAATTGTTGAGGCCCATCCAGTAATGTGGTGGTTTCTCCATTAAAATCCCTCTCTCTACTTCCACAAGCTAGGTAGCTAGCTAGAGAAAAATATAGTATGGGAATGGGAGAAAAATGGGGGAGAGAGTAGGGATGGAGATGAAGAGAGTTGGAACTTAGAAGGGTTGTTTTATTTTTTCTTTCTTTCTTTTGCCAACTTGTGTTGTGGAAGGTGAAAGGTGGGCATACTCTGGATTTGGAATTTTCTTCATCGTCCCAATTGACATGAATCAACGTGTCCCTAGTGTACCACTAAGGTTTTGATTTCTATAGTCTCTGAGTCAGTTTTCTAATAATACAAGTAATTTACTTCATCGTGAATTCCCTTTTCTATCTTCTTAGGTTGATCTGTTCAACTCTCATTTATCCCAAGTAAACAAACAGATAAATAAATTATATATATATTTTTTGCAGTGAACATGACGCTGAATTTCCTTTGAAAGTGAGATTAAATCGCAATTTTTTTTATATAAACAAGAGTCTCTTATATAATGGTCGAACATAAATTCTCAATTTCTTGCTTTCTTCCTGGCACTTTGACTGAATTTAAACATGTACACAGAAACTTCTGGCGATTAATGAAGAGAAAGTTGTCACCATGAGAAGACAATCGTCTTTTTTTTCCTACAAAAAATAGACAACATCATTTGTTTGGAAACATATCCGCATCTTAAAAAAAATTACTATGGCATACTATCTAGACTATGAGTTAATTGAATTTTGGGATATCATACTTTTTTAATCATTAACAAAAGTTTATATATCTTCAGCCGCTAAATCATAAACATTAAGATGATGCATCTAGTATGTTGAATTTATTTCAACGAATCAGAATCATTTATTGATATTTCTCAGGTATACTTGCGTACACCTAGGCTCTAAAGCAGTGACACATAGGGATGACAATGGGTCGGGTTGGGTTTTGCCAAACCCAAACCCATGGGTTTATCAGTGAAAAAAACCCGGGATAAAATTCACTGGGTTTGGAAAACTCAAAACCAACCCAACACGCTGGGTATTCGCGGGTTCATGGGTACTCATGGGTTTTTGTCATAAAAAATTTACAATAATAAGTTCCTATCAAAATAAAAGTCAAATATCAATCTCTCAATACAAATTATCCATATATAATACACCATTCTAGAAAATTCAAACACATCACAAATTAGTCATACAAATTGTTCAACACCAATCTAGAAAACTCAAGAAAATTGAAGTAAATCACAAATTATCCATTAGTAATATGATTAATTGAAAGCTTCTTCCTCCTTGTCAATTAAGCTTCTTCACTCTCCACTTGATAATATCAACTTCATTCTACATAATTAGTAAGAAAAAATTAGACATGTCTCCACAAACATAAAGAAGATTAGTTGCTTAGAATATTAAATATACAGGAAAATTAATTATATGGGTGTGGGCGAGTATCCATGGGGCGGGTATACCTAAACGCAAACCCAACCTGGTGAATAGTGAATGGGTTTAAACTCAAACCCGACCCAAAACCCGTCAACACGGATTTTACCCGCACTGACCGGGTTGGGTCGTGTAATCCGTGGAATCGATTTTTATTGCCATCCCTAGTGAAACAATGTTTCTCCTAGGCCCTAGACATACAATTAGGTGTTCATAAGGCCTAGGCGAAGCAGAGAACGATTAAATGGCGTGAGGGGTGATTAATTGAAGTGAGGCACTTAACAGTTAACACATTGGAAAACCAATGAATAATATAATTGTAGCTAATCTTCCCAAAATGAGGCAATTTCCAGTGGCGTTATATTTGAAGAGTCCTTCACTCTTCCTACATCAATTTGAATTTTAATTCTAGGTGAATGAGACAAAGACTTAGAACTCAGGCATTGCGAGGGCTTCTCCTTTTTGCTCCAACACTTTTGCCCTCTGCCATGCTTTTTCGTTGTGCCGATTATAGACGAACAATGATCCACAAATTTGACAGTTCTTCTCCAATTCTAGTGGACCCGATCGTCTGCCTTACTTTGTCAAACACAAAGCAGCCACAACCCACAACTTCTTCAATCTTTCTCTAACTTCGGTCGACCCGACCCTCTGCTCTGACCATCATCGACGATAGACCAGCCACAACCCAGGACTCCTATAAATTTGTAACTCTATGAAATCATGACATATTATGCTTGTTGTTGAAGGTTGGCTAAGTTATTAAACATTTGAAATTTAACTAAAGTAAAACAAATGCTATGAAATTGTTAACTGTACTAAAATTATATTTACTTAAAACGCATGTGAACCGCCTAGGCAATGCTTAGGCATGCTAGGCGTTAGGAAGAATGCCAATGCAAGGCGCTAGCCCCTAGCGTCTTCTTTAACCTTTATATTTCTAATTAAATTGATCTAAGATTATATGATTTACAAAATTAGAAATCAAATTTCACTTATTATGGTTTAACCTATAGTAACATGTCTCAAATTCTCGTTAATTCGAGGTCTAAATAATATTTTCTTATTATGAATATGTTATATCTCATATTTGCTCTAATTATTGCAGAAATTTTCAAAACAAATACAATTAAGTGAGTAGTACTATAGTAGTAGTGATGTTTATGCACCATGGGTCCTTAAAATCAGTTTTCTAAATTTGAGTAGATGGTGACATTCATATTAGAAAAACATTTCGAAGATGGTGACAAACTATTATAAATGATGAAGTAAGTTTGGGGACAAACTGAGAGACATCTCTAACTGAAATCCCTCCTTTAAGAGATCCAGCCAAATTAATGTTGATGCGTTCTTTGTCCTCACAAGATGGTCTAAAGAGACCCACCGATTTTTGGGCTGATCTTCATGACTTATGCAAAATTTATACGCATCGTGATCATTATGTTATAATATATCTGTAGAAACCAGGAGAAAAAGCGAATTGGTGATTGTTTTTTGGGGATTTTTCGGAAGACCCAAGTGCTGGAAATAGTGATTGTGAAACTATCGAATCAAAGTATTTAATTCCTTCTTCATCCGTCAGTTAGGTCCCAAATGCTGCAAATAAAGATTGTAATATGAGAATGGAAAAGGAAATCGGAGCTATGTCGGCTCGTATGGGTAGAAGGTCTATTACAGACAATTTAAGAGTTGGGGATCGTTTAACTTCTTGTAGACTTCTTGATCGTAAAGGGTAATAGTTATGGAGCACTTCTAACAAAATTCCAAAGCCTGCATGCTCTTGGATTCAAACTCCAAAGCTGACTAGTATATTTGAACCCATTGAAGAAAGAAATAGTTCATCTAGCTTCTAATTATAAGTTCACCATGAAGAAATAGTTGATCTAGCATCCGTGAAGGAAAGTTTTCTAAACCTTTTAATCTCAACTAAAAGAAGTTAGTATATTATAACGAAATAGATTCATGTAAGTTACCTAAATTAAAATTATATCAAGTAACTATAGAAGGTTTTTAAATACATATGTGATAGGTTCCTTTCATATAGATATACTCTTAGAGAGTGGTATAATTAAGATCCAACATAACCTCATTCCAACAACTCGAATTATTGGGACCAACTGGTTTATAACATGGTATCAGACCATCATCGATTCCGAGCGATTTTTAGGAAATGTCATTTTCCTTGGATTTTGAAGGCGATGGATCGCAGATTCGGCCTTAGGGTACTCTCCACCAACGATGAAGTCTAGCAATGGCCGATTTGGGCGGAAATTTGGTCGAATTTTTCTGGAAGGCATTTTCTGTAATTTTTAGGCGATTTTTTCGAAATGCCAATTTCCTTCGATTTTGAAGGGTGCAGATCACGGATTTAGACTGATGTTGTTCTTTAGGGATGAATAAGTCTATTAAACAGCGTTTTGGGCGGAATATTTCCAGGGAAATTTGTGCCAGCTTCCAAAGGGGTACCATCATCGATTTCGGGCGATTTTTTGGAAATGCCATTTTTTTGGATTTTGAAGGTGATGGATCGTAGATTCGGCGTTAGGGTACTCTCCACCAACGATGAAGTCTAGCAATGGCCGATTTGGGCGGAAATTTGGTCAAATTTTTTTGGAGGGCATTTTCGTAATTTTTAGGCACTTTATTCGAAATGCCATTTTCCTTGGATTTTGAAGGGTGCAGATCAAGGATTCAGCCTGAGGCTATTCTTCAGGGATGAATAAGTCTATTAAACAGCGTTTCAGAGGGAAAATTTTCGGGGCAATTTTTGCCGGTTTGCAAAGGGGTACCATCACCGATTTTGTGCGATTTTTTGGAAATGTCATTTTCCTTGGATTTTAAAGGCGATGGATCACAGTTTCGGCCTAGGGTACTCTCCACCAACGATGAAGTCTAGTAATGGCAGATTGGGGAGGAAATTTTGTCGAATTTTTTCGGACGACATTTTCGTAATTTTTAGACATTTTTTTCTAATGACCATTTTCCTTCGATTTTGAAGGGTGCAGACAGATTCAGCCTGAGGCTATTCTTTAGGGATGAATAAGTCTATTAAACAACGTTCCGGGCGGAAAATTTCTGGGGCAGTTTTTGCCAGTTTCCAAAGGGGTACCATCACCGATTTCAGACGATTTTTTGGAAATGTCAGTTTCCTTGGATTATGAAGGCGATGGATCGCATATTCGGTCTTAGGGCACTCTCCACCAACGATGAAGTCTAGCAATGGCCGATTTGGGCAGAAATTTGGTCGAATTTTTCGGATGGCATTTTCGTAATTTTTAGGCGCTTTTTTCGAAAGGCCATTTTCCTTCGATTTTTAAGGGTGCAGATCACGGATTCAGCCTGAGGCTATTCTTTAGGAATGAATAAGTCTATTGAACAGCGTTTCGGGCGAAAAATTTTCAAGGTAATTTTTGCCAGTTTGCAAAGGGGGTACCATAACCGATTTCGGGAGATTTTTTGGAAATGTCATTTCCCTTGGATTTTGAAGGCGATGGATGGCATATTCGGCCTTACGGTACTCTCCACCAACGATGAAGTCTAGCAATGGCAGATTTGGGGGGGGGGGGGGGGGGGAATTTGGTCGAATTTTTCCGGATGGCATTTTCATAAATTTTAGCGATTTTTTCGAAAGGCCATTTTCCTTCGATTTTGATGGGTGCAGATCACGGATTCAGCCTGAGGATATTCTTTAGAGATGAATAAGTCTATTATACAGCGTTTCGGACAGTAAATTTTCGGGGCAATTTTTGCTAGTTTGCAAAGGGGTACCATCACCGATTTCGTGCGAATTTTTGGAAATGTCTTTTTCTTTGGATTTTGAAGGCGA